CAGGCGCTTGGCCTACACTTTGCCATCTCTTTCTCAAACCATCCGCTGACAATCAGAAACTTTCCCAATAGAAAGACTACTGAACAGCACAACTACTGGTGTGCTGAAAATTTCAACACATTTTTGAGTAGCAGAGAGTGTGAGTGGTCGGGAACACAAACATCGCTTGCCTCCGTATGCCTCATATTCTAATGAAATTTTACAGGTACTATACTATCCGTGACAGTGAAAACACTAGTGGGGAACTGCCTGAACGATTCTCGCATATATATTGATCAAGAAGAACAACCATAATCGATCGATGAATGCAGTCACAGATTCTGCAAGAGGCTGTTGTGATGGCGCCACTGCTAAGTTGGAGATCTTCTAACCGGATCACGTTGATACCCCATATTGATGTGAAGTGTTTTGGGTGACTGAAAGGCAGTCGCCCTCCAACTTCATGAAGCAGAATTTTTTCTCGTTATGTGAAGGTCGGATGCCGCTCAGTATGGTCGGTTGACCGTGCGTGAACAGTACTCAAAACCTGGAGGTATGAGAAAGTTATTTTCGTGTAAATCCATTCACTCATCTGAAGCTCCACACGGTCCCTCAGCAAAATTGATCCCTTAGGCAACAAAGAATGAAGGAAACTGGCACCTGAATAAGTCATGTGAGACTTTTTCAGGAAATGCAAAAGGATTAAATGGAACCGTGAGGCCGTAAGAATTAGCGAAGTGCTGTCCCCGCTTAGATACACTATGAGCTAGAAATGCAAGTTGTGGTTCAGTGGTTCGGGATATCAAAACTTGTCCCGCCTAGCTGATCACAACAGCAGGTTGTATGGAAGTTTACTCCCAAACACCCACCATCCATCTGTAGGAGAATATGCGTTCCACGGCAAGCTCAGTCGCTGACCGGACATTCCCTGACAAAGAATGCTGAGATTTCGTCCGACTGCCTCTGAAAAGGAAAGATTTTTTAAAAAAGGAGGTTCTAATGGACGCCACTCAAATACGTAAGGAAGACCGCGTCCCTGTTCTGGCGTAATTATTCCGGTGAATCCACACCAAAGGGAAGCACTCGACTCGAGCTTCGCTCCTATTAGAGCTCATCAGCAGTGTATATCCAATGGCCGTGCCGTAATTTGAGCCCCGGACATCTGGCATGTGAGGCGAGCGTGTAACCACTACTCCACCAACACACGTTGATCTGACACATCGCTCAAGTGTGAACACGTTCGCCTGTTCAGATCTGATAATTCAGATGCGGCCAACGTGCGTTGGTGGAGTAGTGGTTACACGCTCGCCTCGCATATCAGATGTCCGGGGTTCAAATTGTGGCATGGCCATTGGATATACACTGCTGATGAGCTCTAATAGGAGCGAAACTCGAGTCGAGTGCTTCCCTTTGGTGTGGATTCACCGGAATAATTACGTCAGAATAGGAACACGGCCGTTCAGACGAGAGTGATGTGGCTATGATCAAAAATACCTACCCCGCAGAACCCCAAAATTGCAACATAAGGAAGAATACTGCCGCCCAGCAAAGTCAGTCGTTCACTTGAGCACCCTTTCGGTGTCTAAACTGCATTCCACCCGATGGAGACACAAGAGGTGGGATACTGCCGGGTTTCCCAACCATAGACAGGGGAAGTGGAGAGACAGAGGTCGGATTCAAACCCCGGACCCTTTGATCAGTAAACTCGCGCCCTAACCACTGAGTCATCTCACAACCTTCTATCAAAGTGGAGCTTATTCGATTAAGCGGCTATTAGATCCTCAATTCTGCCAGGCATCAGTGATTCCGCTATTGATTTCAAATAAATCCAGTGCAAACGGCCGTGGTTTTTAGCACCCACCCCCAAACTCTTAACAGTTGTCTTGTTTGTACTTCCTTTTATTTGTCTTGTCTAATCCAGTCCATGCAACCTCTTATCTCTGTACACTTCATCTTGTCTAGGATTATTTGATAGGTGCCAGGGTACCAGCTGAGTTGGTAGGAATAAAGTGTGCAGCGGCTAAGTAAACATTTGAAACCGATTTGGGATCACTGAAATTTCGGACCGGCATTATCCACCTTTGTGCCTGGAAATGGATCACGTTACCCGATGTCTACAAACAAGGCGAACCGAACTGTTCTGCCTACGCTCATAGATTCCCTCACTCTCTGCTTACCCTCTTGCCCTTACTACCAACTATAGACAACGCCAACTACATCTATATCTAGATTCACTGTTGCGCCCATGTGCTCAATGTGTTCAATATAGCCTTGCTGATCTAATTCCTTTCGAAACTTTTACGATTCCAATCACGCCCAAAGATTTCACACGAAAATTTTTCACGCATTATTAACCGCTTTTTCGGCTTGTTCACATATGCCACCTCATATTTGTAAGGTCTATGTTACTCGGAAGTCTTCACAAAATTAGCCACGGGAGATGAAGAATAAGAAATACTTTGGCGAGAAACGGCGTGAGTGATATCACAGATTTGCTATCTTGTGGTATTTACCAAACTGGTACCGGATTCTCAGCCAACCCGGTAAACAAAGACATATTTGAGAACGGAGATTTTGAGGATGACCGGACTCCTCTGGATGAATTAACTTGCTCTGCTGTGGAGACTGCGCTTCGCAGTATGCACAATGGAGCTTTAAGAACGCGCTGCAGTCGAGCAGTCAGAAGCGTGCCTTCATGGAAATGGACAGGTCGAAGGATTGAAACTAGTTGTCGATGACGTCATCGATGACAGCAGGTGGGAATAATTAGAGGAAATGTGAAAACGTTCCAAGGGGTAGCGTTTGATGAGTACACATCGAAACCGAGTTGAGCTTGTGCACACGATGTGATATCCCGTGTTTCATTGTATTTAGCCCAGTGTTACTCACTCAGTGGAGATGAGGTTTGTCGCTCGACCTGTGCCTTGGAGAAGGTCAACTTTCGTTGTTCTGAGAAAAGGCCGTATCAGTCATGAAAACAACTACACATCGCGAGCACCTCTAACATGAAAACATGCTGAAACAAGCCGGGAATGATAGCTTCAGTTGCGAACGATATCAAATGACTATTTCAAGGAGGGTCGGTAGAGATCACCATAATTTTATGGAATCAGAGATGTCAACAAACATTCATTCCGCACCACGTCATCCTGAGATATCTCTCTAAGAAGTGATTAACTCAGCTGAAGTTTTTAATATCATACTTATTCAGTAATAATTTAGTCAGGTATTACTGGTGGAAGATAGGATGAGCGATACTTCACTCCCCACGCTGGGGTACTTGAAAGCATTGCTTGGAACAAATGTTTTTTTTAAATTCCTGACGCACGTGGGAAAACGAATAATAGAACATTTCTGTTTTTTTCTGCCAACGCTACAAAAAACCATGTTTATGTACTCCCTGTTTACTTCACATATTGCTTTTGGATAGTAACTTATATTCGCGTATAAAAAATGTCTCCATTGGGTCCCGTGAAAGTCATTGCAAAGGCCAACAGTGAAACCAACACCGGAAAACCTGGATTTATTTTTCAAGGACCTTAGTATGTAGCGTGCCTCTGAGTCGCCCGCTTCTTTGGTTTAACAAAGGTATTTTTAGCGGCATATACAACTAAGCTTTCATGCTTTCTGGAGGTTGATATGGTGTTACGGACTGCTTTTTGCGTGGTTTGCTGCTCAGAGATTTCTCGGACAGGACACTCATGGTAGTGATCCTCACTGTGCCTGGTTGGAGACACTACAAGATATGAATGCCAACCGATGTCAGTGGCGTTCTTGTTGTCAGTTTCTATCCAGATCGCCTGAGTGAGTGTCGGGAGGTATAGGCACCTCGGAATGATTGTGGCCAGCTAGCACTAAGTCCCCTTCCCCGTCCACCTTTACTCTTTTCTTTGCAGTAAGGCTTTCAAATAAATCATGGCTGTACGGCAGTGAAGCATCGGTGTTGAACACTGATGTCATGCTGTCGATGATGATGATGACCTTCATGGTACAAACTGACTGATGTTCTTGCGAGCCTGCGAGCAGTTTTAGGCGTATGTGCTGGAAAAAACAGAAGGGCATCAAAGTGCGACTAAATACTCCCTCCCCAATGCGACATCCCAAACAGTCAACTCATTCTTTCGAACTGGTCAAGGTTGTGAGTGTGAGTGAACACACATTGACACTGAAAACGATGTTATTCCGATCACGTTGTTTCACGTCACTCTAAGTGACCACGACTTCCCCGTTGCTTCCTTCAGATTCGTAATGATCGTTTTCAAACTGATGGATGTGTGTTAACCGTAATTTACATTGGTCATAGCGTTCCGAAAACCCGATAGCAGAATTTGTGTCCAGAATATTAGCTGGAAAAGCTCTGCATCCCAGCATGGATCTGAGGGCAGCAAACCGCTGCACAATGTTCAGTTTGTTCACCAATGGAAACTTTGTAGCATGCTTTTGCCCAACTGGTCCTGTAAACAACGGTCCGATTAATTCAGATTAGGTGTTTGATGTCTGTCTTAGGACATGGGATGAGGGCAGGTAACTGGCCTATTGTCGATCATGCCATTGCTACCCGGGCGTATGTATGTGTGAATACCGGTGGGCGGTTTTTAGTCTGGGTTACCAGGAAATGTGGACAATTAATGATGTAGGGTGAGTGATTTGACATGATTCAATCGCTGAGTCACATTTGGAACCCGGGTACTTGAGTACCAGACAGAAAAATCATGTAGCACACACGGTAGAATGTGAAACACTTCCTATTGAAGACGACTATCGAGCGCTTGCAATCAAAGTGGTGTGCATTTCAAACCTGCACTTTACTGTCAGAAGCGTTAAATTTTTTATGCAGAGAAATCGCTGCAGCCTCAATCGATCCATTTCGAAAAAAGCACCAATATGCTGTTGCCAGACGGCACCGTCACGTGCCCAAGGTTTCACTCTCACATGATTCTAATCTGTGTTGTTATCCTGCCTCATGCGCCATTAAACCGCCACACTTCCTTCTCACTTCCAATTTCCTTTCTCTTCATCAGGAGTGTGGGCATACTCACCTATTTCCTTCTGACAGGCGTTTCTCCTTTTTTGGCGAGTGAGAAGGAGATTACGATGCAGCGGATTACGCATGGACCAATAGAATTTCCGGACGACCTGTTCCATGGACGAAGTCAACAATCAGTGGACTTCTTACGTGGCCTGATCGTCCGCGCTCCCAGGTATGCAAACTACTGTAAATATTTCGTGGTAAAAACTTATTTATTAGCTTCCTAAAATACTGCTGCGAGATTAGATTGATCCACCGTTGAAACAGGGGCATTATCGCTCGGCTATTACGTGTTTCGAAAAGCCACTGTGTTCATCCAGCTTATGATGGCGTTTTTCGACTTATACGTTCACCCACATACCAATTCGGCTCTGATGGCAGACTTACCCGTGGCACAGCTGAATCTTTTCGTTTATGATGTGCACCCACCTGATAGGCCCCCAAAAGGGCTAAATGGTCGTGGGCTGTCAGTGTTTTCAGCAACCTTATGGGTAGTGTATTACGACCTGGCGTATTTTTCTGAGTAGGTTTCTGGCGGTGCAGAAGTCGTGACTGGTGATTTGGCGACGGGTACTGGGCAATTTTCCGTTACACGATTTAAGTGTTTTGAGTCAATCAAGGTTGTTCAATGGGTGACAGTCTGATTAACAGTCCCGTGCCTGTACCGCAACGACTAACTTGCTTTTTTAGGTCACCCTAATCCAGCTCGTGGTTGCTGTTCCCTAAGCTTCACTTAGTGTCCCGGAGACAAAAGGAAATTTTTGCCTCACTTTTTGTCACGCCTCCGCCAACAAGATTGTGGTCTTTCAAACTAGCACCCAATTCAACCGTTTTTCGGTAACAACACTGCCTTCTTTCAAGCATAAAAGCTGATAACTCAATTTACCACAAGCCTTGCGGGTGCTGCAAAATCAGCAAAAAATTAGGAATTTTGAAAGAAGGTCCGAGAATAGCCAATGATGCGAAACGTGGACCGCAACACCGAGGGTGGGTTCTGAAGCCCTGTCGTTAAGGTGGACCAGTCAACTGGTAAAATAAGCAATATGCCAGTTATGCGGTCGATTCCCACTAACTATCGGTTTTTACCAAGGAATGTGCTTAGTTCTAACGAAACTCGTTTCCTGGCCGGGGATCGATGGTGACGGATCCCCTCTGTGTGGGATCGGACATGTGAATTACAGTTCCAAATTGTTAAACAGGCGCTTTCCGGACAGCCCTGGGAGAGTTATTAGCGAATGGTGAGGTAGATATGCACGTGCTAAATAACGGATATGTAGGTCATCTAGTTGAAGGAGAAGAAGAAGGAAAGATCAACAAGAGGAGGGTCAAATAAGGAAATGCGGGTTTGCAAGTGCCCCAATAATCTCAAACCTATCAGGTGGTAATTCAGCCCATGAATCAGCGCAAGATCTCCATAAGTAAGCTATTCTGAACATTTCAATGAGGTAGCGAAAGATAATCAGTTCCGCTAATAGTCCACTTCACCGCCCCACGGAATACCCTTTCTGGGGAGGTATTTTCTCTTAGCAATAGTTTTTTCAGAATGCACAGTAAGTCAATTCTGATGTAAATAGCTGTTTTCAATGAACCTTTGGAAAGTCAAAAGAGGGCTTTAGTGACTATCGAGTGGTTCACTAGGGTTAGTTTTGTGAGACTAGAACGAGCGTCGGTTTGCTTGCCAATATCTCCAAAAGTGTCCCTTTTGATGTTGTTCGAATTCGGTAGTCATCCTCAAGCAGTCTGGAGAATAAAGTGTATAAAATAAGAAATTCGCAACAATCTTCCTGCAACAGAAATCACCTTAGAGTTGGCAATACAAAAACACATTTGTTGATCTTAGATTGAAAGTAAGGAGTTCGAGAAGTGGCAATTGTGAGAAGAAAATACACATGCATGGCTTATCGACCCAAGAATGCGTAGAATGCGCTCAATTGCCAGTTGGACTTGTGTTGACAGGACACTCGGCAATCTTTATGATAATTTAAAACATTTTCTTGCGTCCAGTTTGTGACTGAAAATCGATCTCCTCAACAACATATTTCCAAAAGTCTCAGTCTAGTTACCTGCATTAGTTGAAATGCGCAATTTCGCCGCTTCTAGACAAAAAGTGATTCAACAACTGTGCGCCTTAGAAGACCCATTCCTAATAACGGTATTTGAAGACAAACCAATGACCCTCCAGCTTATTGCACGGACTGGCGGATGGTATTTACCTATCTACTCGTGGTTGCTGTGTCGTCGTCTACACACTGATCGAGAGTAGGGTAGATTAGATCTCGTTCGCTGGCGTTATCTAGAGCATCCATAAATTAGACTGGTGCACTCTGGGGGATAATGTCGGTATTTGTGTGAGGGAAGTTCATCATCGGGGTAGAAGTTTGTTTATATTTGTAGGCTGGGATTGCCGGTGAACCAAGAATCCCTCCATCCATGATTGTGTGGGGCGGCGCTGGTATTACAAGTGCTGGTATTTCGTAAAAAGAATCGCCCAAGTCTTTGTTTATGACAACCAAATGGACAGACTTTTCGATCTTGGAGATAACTAACCTTTCTTTACACCTCCTTTTATTCATGAAGTCCCCCTGAGCATGCGTTACCAGCCTTGATTAGGGAATATTTTGCAAACCGAACCGCGGAAAACTTGCTAACCAGATTATTTTCCCGTCTGTTCGGCTGAGTTTGAAATCTTAGAGCAGAAATTTTTGCGATCAGTGAAATTTCTCCTACAATTCAACAATCGGCAGCCCTGAAGCGTACGTGGGAATCCTCTATTAGCATATCCGTGGGCTTCATCATAACCTTGGGGTTTAAATGATTCAGTGCATACGCTGCTTTTTGACTTGAGTACGAACGGTGCGCAAAGAATAACAGCCCAACGTTAGCATCTATGCTCTTAACTTACGAGTAGTTGATTGGGTATAGTAGTTGCCGACGAACGCCCTCGAAGCAGTGAGCTTATGGATGAACCTTGCTGTGTCCAAGGAAACGTTCTACGCTGAGAAATTTACACTGGGTGCCTGAATACAGGAATGGGTAGGCTTGTGAACTAAAGTCAGCCGCTTTCCTTAATAGTCCGCCAGTTATATCAAGCAAAGGCGTGTCGAAAATGCTCCGTTTCACTGCTTACTGCGCATTCCGGCTCTTCAGCATATGTTGGCCTTTTTACTCGTCAATTCTTTGACCATTGAGGTCTCGGGAATGTATTTGGAATCGGTTTGACCCAGCAACTAGGCAGTGAGGTGATCGAGAAACGGGTTTTTGTGAAAACAGAAGGTAATTAAGACAAGTTAGGCATCCAGCACTGTAAGCTAAGGTCGCCAGATTATGTGTTATGCGAATTACCCTCTGCCCCGAAGATCCTTGTTTTTCGTGCCCAGTTTGGAGTGTCGAAAGCATAGAGGTGGGTAGAATATGACAAGGCAGAAGGGAATGAAGAATGTTGCGGAAAGTCTGTGTGCTGTTCCTATTCCAGGGAAGCCCATATGACCTTCACCGGGCTTGGCCGGAAATGTTATCAGGTATGATGGCTAGCCGAAGTCACTTGCGTCTATGCTGCCAATTTTTTGTCCAGGTTTTCTGATTGATTGGTGGAAGTGTGAGCAGTCAGAATGTTCGTGGTTGGTTAGCCCCAGGTCCTCTCACGTTTACCATCTTTTTCTTTTTCCGTCACAAGAGTTTCTTCCGATAAAGTGGCATGATTGTAAGGCAGCAGCAAATGCTGGTGGCACTGAGGATGATGGAAAAAAATGATAATCGGTAATCTTAGTTTCGCAGCCTTAATCATAGGACTAGGGTTCAAAGCAAGTCAGTCAAATCAAGTTAGTTCAGAATGTTCATGTGCCTTGGTGAAGACCCACCAAGGAGTCACCAAGGAGCCCGGCCGATGGAACTATATTTCCCCTAGGTACGATTTAATGCCAGTCACGCATAGCTAGACGTCAGAGTACTAAATTGCTGTCCTGTTTCTCGCAACCGAATTCTGAATTCTACCAAAAAGTGATCTGGAGAAACATTTTACCTCTGGTGATTCAAATCTTGCTGCATGATTTATTCCGATTTCTCCATCATTTCGTTTCATACCACATTTCATTCTTGTTTTTCTTGCTTTCAATCATTGATTGGCCTTTCCTGCCCCCCTGATAGTCAACGAATGACCGCCGAACAATCCTTAAAACATGAATGGATTCGTTCTCTCAACCAGTCAGAGCAAGATATTCAGCTGTCACACCATGTCGTCATGAACGAATCCCCTGAGTGCCTTCAGGCTAACTCCACTTCACAGCAGATACCGTGTGGCGATGTTGCAGCAGAACTCGACATACCGTCAGTGAATAAAATAATAGATAATGACGCGAAAAATGGTGATTCCACCTGCAAGGCGCATGCAGAATCAGCGCGCGTCAACTCAGGGGCTATTACCAAGTTGCGTCGGGTCACTAAGAGAAAACCTAGCCTTGAATTACTCCTCAGAATGGACCCAACTATCCTCTCCTCGAAGCCACTAGATGCCAGCACTATTAACACGTATATTCAAAGTCTTCTTCTCTCGAACTCGCTGGTCATTCAATCCAAAACAAGGAAATCATTTTCAATGGATAGTATGTTCATTCGGTCAGTTTCTGCACCCCCAAGCACATTTACCCCAGCACATTGCGAGCAAACATGCGACACGTATGACCTTCATCATCTTGAACGAGGTCGGAGTTCTAAACGCGTCACTCGCACCACTCACTTGACAGTCAGAATGGTCCCAAACCTGGTGGCGAAACCATCAGAGAAGTTAGAACACTCGGTGTCGACGATGTTTTACCTCAAGTTCCCAGACCTCGGCGAAATTACGAAAGCTGATGGAGATAGCTGGAAAGTTTGTAACTCCCAGTGTGAGTCCTTCTTCCATTGTCAAATCATCCATGTACCCCATGTCTACTTGGCTTTCGCTTGGTCTGTACTTGAGAACTAGGCACCTAGCCCAACATTATGCCTGCTTTTTTGTCTAATTACTTCCAGTACATTGTGCACGTCAGTTTAGAATCTCAACATCACGTTCAAGGCTTATCGCAATATCCAAGGCTGCAGTAGTTTGTTCGAAGATAGTAATTTCACCCAAGCGTNAATATAATAATAATATTGCAATAATTGTAATATAATTATCTACCTGAGGGCAAACAAACTTGACTAGGAAGGTTCTGTTCCTCTCGTAATGAATATGTTAAGGTGGGGTGTCCGGGAAGGACCGTGAAAAACCTCATTTGTATTATAATGGGAAGAGGGGATGGACACTTCCTTTTCACACGTCGTCCAAACTGTGCTGGAAGAGAAGGTAGATTAGGTAGTTGTTTCACAGCCGATGGTGTTAAACCTCTTTAAGATTTAATTACATATCAACAGTGTGATTTACGTCCAACTTTTGGGGCCGTACACCGTGAGTTACGCAAGTTGGTATCACGTGATGGTGAAACGCCTCCCATAAAAGGGGAAAAAGCACTGTCGAGGGCCTTTAAATCGAAATATAACTCAAAGAATTGCTCAGCTTTGATTTTGGGCCGCAGCCCACAGGGCTGTTAATAGAAATCAAGAAGCAGCTGGACACTGTGTTTTCACCACTGAGTCTTCAGCAAGGTCGACTGCCAGCGTGATAGAGACAATAAAACCTCAAACCAGCATTGTGAACATTTCTGAGTCTCAGACGACTGATGGCTAGTATGCACTGCTGACCGAATCGGTCATCACATAGTTGAGGATCTAAGTGACTTCTAAACGCAATCTGTTTGAGCTGCTGATTGCTCAAGTGTCCTAGATGTTTTTCATGGGGCTCGTATTTTATACTTCTCTCTGTGTGTACTGCCTGAAATTTCCTATAGGGATCAAACAGGAAGCCGAAGTTCGTTACTTATTCTCTGTGCTATGCGAAATTACTCAGTTAATAAGGATAATGTCTCAGCTCAGCTCTCGGTCTGATCCTCCCAAGTCATCCATTTTAGCATAAAAAACTCCAAGGATGTGCAGTCTAATAGACGTTCAGAATCAGGCCAAAAACCTAGATGTATTGGGCGGTAGCATTCTGGACATTCAAACGCCTTCTGGACGCGATTTGGCAGCCGCAATTCAGCGGATTCTGCATTATGATTGGATGTTAGGTTCATACTTTCAGCCAATCAGAATGTGGCTTTACGCTGGACCGACAAGTAACTCGTTCTTCTGGCTAACCGAGTGCGGGCTAGGCTTCTTGGCCGTAGCTGCGAACGGTAAGGCGGTTTTGGTGCGGGACAGCGCCTAATAGTAAGGCGAATCAATTTATGAAGCCCGATCCTTACTCAGAATACGCCTTATCACGATAATCGTCGAGTTAGTTTGGTAGGTGGCACATTCTTGAACACTATCAACACCTCCGAGCATTTTATGATTCTCCCCGCATGTAAATGATCCTTAGCAGTGACCTTATCAGGTCAGCACTAGCTGGAGTTGAACAATCCTTCTTCTGAAGCGGGAGAAATTATTAGGTCTCCCTAGTTACAAGAAGTTCTTTCCTTGCATAATTCAGGCATAGAGATGGTGAAAAATGTCCTTTATACTATGCACCTCCTTGATGAGGGTTTTGCATGCAGATTGGAAAATTACTCACTCTGTATGATAGTGAATATGAGGGTCTATCCTGAGCGGATGTTTGGAGTCAAGTTGTCGACAGCGAGAGGTATTTCAGAATACAGAAATAACTAGGTTGTGACCACTACTGCGCTGAGTCTATTTCCGGTGCATCTGGATGACAGGGGATAAGGTATTATGTGTTTGTTCTCAAACTTATTTTCTTTCGATCTGCCGCACCGCTGAGCAGAGCAACTGCGTTGCATTTTCAGGAAGTTATATCAGAGGTGGTTTCAAACCAAAAAGCTGAGATGTTCAAGAATTAGGAGTTTCCTTGCAGATGACGAACCGGGCGATATAGCTGAATGAAGTTGTAGCCATGCTGGCGTGGATCGTCTAAAACCTAGTGTCCATCAAAGGACACACTGAGATCCGCCAGCGAAATGTCAGCCAATAAGTGGGTTTATGAGATTTCCCATGACTTTGTTAGGATACCAGAGAGTGGTGAGAGAGAGACGGTGTTGGGAGCAGACTTACGTGACAAGCGCTACATACTCCGAAACAAACACCAAGTTATGAAGATGTTATCTACCCAGTATTACTCGTAAACCGATCCCTAGCCTTCTCATAGCTGGCACCATTGTGCTGTTCTTTTTCTTGTTCGCAAGTAAGCCGGCTTACGAGCGTGGATATTCCCGAGTTTAAGTCTACAGAACGTTGACCACCATTTTACGGGCCACTAGCCAGCCACTTATGTGTTTCTAGTCCTTACAATGAAAGATGCTAGTCCCGGATCATCCCCCACACACATAACTGGCTGCAACTGTTTAGATGCCCTACAAGACCTGATAACAATGGGTCATCAGCTAGTCACACTGCTAGCTTTAAGAGTACACCATACATTCCTCAGTTTCACTGTAACCTATAGGCGGCTTCCCGTTTACACATTTCGCATAATGAATAAAATCGCATTTACGTCATTTATTTTCTTGCAGTTGCATGCATTTCCTTACTTTCTAAACGCGGTTATCGTTCAATTTCCTCCCAAATGATCTCCATTCTCATTCAAGATACCTTCAATCGGCTCGAGTGTAATTATTTCCCCGTCGCTGCATGCTCCTCATCCTTCGCCAACCTTGCATGCCTGCTCGAATCATCTACCACTCGTTTATCCCACTTTCAACCATCTCTGCACTCTGTTCTCCCCTTTTCATCGCGAACTAATGTCAGTGAAGCAAGAGCGCACTCCCAGAATGAAATTGATCGCATCCAGAACGTGAAGAGTCCTGCACTCGACTGGCCAGTCAGTAGTTCTTCAGAAGTGGTCCAAAAACCACAATGTCAACAAAAACGGAGTATCATCTTTCGATTCTGTCACCGGTTGTTGGTTATCTTGGACAGTATTCTTAGCGCTGACTACATTACCTCCTTATGGCCACCTCATCGGTCAAGTAAATAGGTTTGGCTAACTGTACCACAAACAGAGCTCATACGTACAACTCTAGGCCGTACTCACCACCATTTCTTTATCACTTTCTCTGGCATATGCAAATTTACGATAACCCGGAGAACTCATTTTGCCGACGTATGTGATATTCAGCATGAGTGATAAAGCGCCCTTCTCGTCAACTTAGACCCTTTTGATTGTCTTGTTTTCTTATTGAGCAGTCACCTCTTTCCGAGTTCACTGTACCTACTTGGTTTTCGTTTCTCGTGTTTACCTCGTGCCTTACCTCAGCTGTACTGGGTAAGGCAAGTATGTTTGAAAAGTCCCCTGACTTTTCACCCAGTACTTTTGATTTTCTCCTAGAAGCCCTCAACCCCAATGTAAAGAACTTCCGCATTAAAAGCAAGGTTTAGTCGACAGTCAATTGGACGATTCAGAGAACTTCCCATAAATAGGTGGACGCACAGAATTTAAGGGGTGCATACTTTACTGGACTGACTGGTAGATAAGCAGATGCATGAGTGAGTGAGTCGGTCAGTGAATCAGTTAGTCAATCAGTCAGTCAATCAGGCACTCAGTCAGTATTCCAGTCAGTCGACCAGTCAAACAGGTGGTCAGTTTGTCGGTCATCATCATCATCATCATTATCAGCTGTAATAACCGCGTACTGGTCGTACACTGGTTGTAGCTGCCACAGTTTCGTTCACCGATGATTGGGGGGTAAGTAGCTGCGCATTGTACGCGCGAGCTGGTAAATTGGTGCATAAATCCAGCACTGTCAGTGAGTTGTCAAGCGGGGGGGGGTGAAAAAGGAGCTATGCATTGAAGGCAATAGCTTTGATGCACGAGC